GTTTTATTAGACAGAGACTTATTATGAAAGCACTATTACAAAAATCAACGAAAATCCTAAGCACTTATTATTTTAATAAATATTATTTTAATATTTGTTCTTTCTTGACATAGGTTTGGAAATTACAAGTATTTTTCTAGAAGACAAAAATCTAATTATAAAACATACGATGATAATTGAAAATACTCTTTGAGAGTGACGACGACATACGACACAAATTTCGTCTAGTAATGGGAACTTCGTATTCTCTTCCCTTTCTGTAGGATCTTCTTCCCGTTTCCTTCTCGGCTCAATTTCCTGCACAGCCCATCAGCTGTTACCCTCGTCGAACTTCCTTCGTGCTGGAAATGTTCGTATCGACGTCGGCAAGATGGATGCGCGCAAACATTGATCGACATTGATCGTTTAAGCACGAAACCTAACGATTATCTTGACGTTCTACGAAATTTCATGAGAACGCAGGCAAGAGATAGATGCGCCATCTCCATAGGTTCATAGCGTTTAATTCAAGAGCACCAGGATTTTATCACGGGGCAAGGTGTATTAAGCATTTTTTTGTACGTGTTCTTCTCTTTCATGAGCGCATGACAAGTACTGCTCGAACGCTTGGCTTCGAGTCGGAGCGAGAGTCAACGACAACGACGACGACGATGAAGAGGGTGAACTCGGCTCGGCCGTTTTATCGCGGCTCGCCGCTGAGCAAGCAGGGAACTCCATCTCTCACGCAACTTCAGGATTTGATGCATGTGCCGCCGGAACATTTGTTCGATCCCCCTCAAGTTCCTCCCTCCTCTCGACTCTTGGGCCGTCTACCCTCCGGGAAGCGGTAGGTCTTGTCTCTCTCCTTGGTGTCTTTCTCTTCCTCGAATTTCTTCCTCCATCGCGTCCGCTCCCTTCACCCGCTCCCGTAACCCGCGCCACGGCCTTCGCCGACGGAGAGGGTATTGGCCGTCTCCACGGTGTAGGCAGGTTTATTTTTATTCCATACGATTCATTCGATTGAACATGACTTGTGGTTACAGCCCGGACGATATATTTCCGATATTACGGGACGACATTCCGACTCCCGTAGTCCCGCGAGTCTCTTGTATTCTTTGCCCATATCGCTCGTCCATCCCCGCGCGCCGCCCACCGACCGGCGGGGTAAAATACGTACGATCCTCTCTAGAATAATAGTAGCTTCCGGGGAATTCATGGTTGGTACCCGCCCGCTTTCTCGCGGCGAGGGTAAGGGAACGGGCGTACGATCGTTACATCTGGTTCGATTTCGGAAATTAGCCCCCAGTATTTTCTGCAGCTCTTGGAAACCCTTTGTCAGGTAAGAATCGTCCGGACACTGCCGCACGGTGATCCGTTAAGCCACATACGAAATGCAGTGGGAGATCCTTGTAACTCGTCTTAATTGCGGCCACGAATAATTGCGGCCGTAAAGGAGCGAATCAATTTTCGAACGATAGGCGATTAGTTTCTCAATTCGAAAATAACGCGATCTATCCAAAAATGGTTTTGACATTTCATCATTAGTTTATCTCGTATTCTGATTATAGGTTGAATATTAGTGTTATCAAAATATTATCATATGAATCTGTCATGTAATTAATCCTAGTACACACGATAATTTTCCGGGTTTTTACTACACACGAGAGGTTGTTAATGCATGGAAAGAACGATTTTACAGAACTATTTTATTTAACTAGATACAGGTTTAAAAATAATTTTATTGGACCATGAAAATATTTGTGTAGAAAACTGGAGTATGATGAGCAATGCTGCAAAATATTTTGATATTTTAGTAATCAACTTGAGCGTCATATATAATTATTTTGATGGTCCAATAAAATTTATTTTTAAATCTGTATTCAGCTAAATTTTTAGATATTTCAGCAAAATTGTTGTTTTTGTGCGTTCCAGAATTAATTTTTATCACTTTTATAAAAATTGTTAAGTGATTCTTAACATATTTAAAATTTGAGAAAGTAGTTGTAAGGTTATATATTTTTGGAAAAAATTGTATATAAATGTTATTATTAATTTCTCGATGCATGCAGTATTTCAAAGAAAAAAAAATGCGCACACGGAGAGAATTTTCTTTTAAAATTTACCCTGAAAATATGGTGATTGTGGTATACAATACAATATTAAAAAAATTTTTACCATGCACTTCAGTAAAATTAATCAAACTTATTTTATACTTTATTGTAGTTTTATTAATATGAATGAGAGAGATTTATATTAAAATTCTTCGAAATACACACACACACACAATGTTGTCCCACGACTGTCATATTTTCAGGGTAAATTCTAAGAAAAAATTCTCTCCGTGCAGGATACAAATAATCATGTATATTAAATGTTAGGATTAACATCGCAGAGGTGTAAATGTAATAATTAAATATATTATGCAACAACTCAAAAATATCTGACTTAACGAATCCAACAGTAGCTGCGAAGGCCATTTAAAGAAGTTAAAATCTCGTTCGATGTTTGTCACCGCAAAGAGCCGTGACACGACGCGATGCTATTATTGCGGAAACAGCGGACGCGTTCACGGCAAAATGCGGGTTGTAATAATTGCACGGTAACATTAATTCGTTTCCCTTCTCGCGCGAATAATTTTCTACGTAAATACGTGTATGCATAATGGCGCATCTCCTACCCCTGCCGCGACCTTCTAATTAACACGTTACACTGTCCTAACGCGTCGCTTCGCACGAAATCGATACAGCGCGGCATTAATTATTGCTTTACGATGGTCCTTGATTAAATCACGATATCGCTGGTTATGTCGACTCGGATGTCGTAACCAATAGTAACCATCCAGTAAACACTTTGTCGCCTGGTCTGGGAAAATTCAGTTTACCATCCGCGCATTAACACCATTTTGTAATACTATCACTATCGGGACATTGTACAACTAACGATACTGTTGTAATTATGTGGGCCGCGACGTAACTAGGTGCTCAGTAACGATCTCAATGACATTAATACCTTTTATTGGTTTCCCTGTATTTTCGCAAATATGTGCACATCGTTTACCTTTAATTCAAATGAGAGGTTTACCTCGAATAACACAAGCACAAAATTATTAAATATTTTTTTAGCAGAGGAAAAATTGAAAAAGAGAAAACGTGATACGAAATCAAAGGATTAAAAGTAATAATTTAAAGCGATCAGGTCGAAAGTTTTTCTCTTTTTTTACGAATTATAACATTTGTAATTATAGTAATAAAAATAAAATAATTAGATTATCTCATTAGGATTTATTTTTATACATACATAGAAAGGGGATGCTTTTACTAAAATATCTAAACATTTTGGCAGTTACAGATCTGAAAATAATTTTATTGGATTATCAAAATATAATGATTATGTAGAACACTCAAACTGGTTGCTAAAATGTCAAAACTTTTTGCAGCATTACTCATTATGTTTGAGTTTCCTATGTAATTATTTTGATGGTCCAAAACAATTTTTTCCGATCTGTTTCCAGCTAAATTTTTAGATACTTTAGCAAAATCGTTCTCTCTCTCTTTTCATGTATGTATATTTTTTAAAATAAACATTTTAATAAACATACATAGTTTAATATGAGTGATTAAAATATTTTTATTTACGCATATTTACATGTTAAAGAGATCTTAAAAAATAGTCAATTTTAGTTAATGTCCGTTAAATTTTCAACTAATAGTTAATTTTTGAAAGCCTAATGTAATAACTTCAGTTGAAAGCTTGATAATTCGTTTCAGCTATCGCTCGCGTCGTAAAGGTTACTAATTAGGCGACGCTATGACAGTGCTAATAAATGGATGCGTTGACTCTAATACAATATATCGACATTGTGAGGGGGCGGTCGGATAACTAACGGTACACTTGAATTATCCGTTAATGAATAGCGATGTTGTGGGCAACCTAGATTTATTCGATTATTTGCGAGATTGGTAGTAGTTTGTGGCATGGCTGCTCAAATTGGGAATTTCAGAAAGGTCTTCACGCGTATCGGTCATTAAATGGCAACTATATAAAGTTCTCTGCGTTTAAGCCGATTTAATCCGCAAATATGGTCATAGCTGTTAAACAATGATAAAAAGTTAACGCGGCTAGATAAATTGTGACAATCGTTAAAAAAAAAATGAAACAATCCGAAAACAGAATCATAAAATGGATAGATTTTCTAATTTATCTTTACAGAGAAAATTGAAAGAGTAATGCATGCACAAGTAAATCATGAAATAATCTTGTTATTTCAAATTGGAACAAAGAAGCTTCTTCCTTCCAATTTATTTTAACTGGAGCCTCTGACTTTATACGTCTTTTGTATAAATCGTGTAAAATCCAGAAGATAAAAACATTCGCAAATACCCAAAGCAATTCGAAATTTTTATTCTGTTAAATTTAGGCCTCTGATATTCCAGTATTGAAATATCCAACTAAACCTTTTTTACCTTCACTACCGCGCCAAATGTGATATCGTCGATTCTGTTTGTTCAAGAATTGGAATGCAAAATAATCGAGATATAAATTTTCATTTGCGCGTACATTTGTTCATTCTTGATCAGTCACATTCTAAAATTTTGATCAAATGAACAATACGGTTTTAAAACGTATCAGTAAAATCGGTTAATTTAAATTGCAAAAGGATAACTCTTCATTTTAACATACGCGAAATCAAACGAGAGTTTGAGATAAATAAATAAATAAATAAATAAAAATTGATAAGTAATTATTATTGTGCGTGATAATCGAAAAAATATTTACCTTTGCCATCACACTGAGAAAAATGTCCGTTCAAAAAGTAACAAACGGATATTTCCGATTGATTTTGATCGGATTTATAAGACTATCCGATCCAATTTTAGGACTATCAATAAAGCCCGGAAATTTTTCTCGGTGCAGTTATCGTATTATGCATTAAATCTATATAATATTCCATTACTGCTTTAATATTTCATTACTGCTTTAAATAATCTACTCATTAATAATTTATTCTATTCATGTTGTAGAACAAGGACAAAATACAAGCAAGAAGAAGACAACATTTTCGAGGTTACTAAGAGGGTTGAAGACGCACAGGAAAGAGAAACAAGGCCAAGCACAAGGCTCTCCCAGGCACAGTCGCGCAAGAATAGGCGTACCTCAAAGAGTAAGTGTGTGTGCACGCTCCATAATATTAAAAATTATATTTGAAAAGATAACGATGAGATATCTTTCTTGTCGGGCCGATCGATTCATGCTAAATTGAATTCAGTATGAATTTATAAAAAGCACGAACTTCTGAAATATTGCGCTCAATGAGACCGGAATAATGCACAGAGTGCATGAGTTTCGAAATTTCCCAGAACTTTTTTTATTCATTTTATTAACACTTTCGTCATACCAGATGTATAGCAGATAAGGTGAAATTGCTAGTCGTTGCGCTCAGTTTAATCATCATGCGCGTATGACTCAAAGGATCAATTTCGTCGCGTAAGAATAATTTTTTCAGAAGCGAATGCGTGCATGACATCGTTTATTAATTCCGTTTTGCGAATCCGCGATCGTAAACGCGTAAATGTCGTGTAATTGCGTGACCATGCGACTTTATCGTGTGCGTGAAGCTTCTGCGTGAGAGATCCTGACGACTAAATATTAAATCTCGCGCAAGCTTCTCGACAATAGTACGCGCAACGTAATTTCCATCGCCGTTGCTGAGGCTCGTGCTTTTTACTAAGCATGTCCAGCCAACAACGAACTGCCGACACACGAATGACGGAACTCGGAAGAATTCTTGTCCATCTAGTATGCACGACTGTTTTTTTCGTGAAAAGCATCTCTTGTCATTCTGAAAAACTCAGTCCGAGGTATTACTCATTTTTCATGTGAATTGTGCCGTCTAATGGTGAAATGCAAGCTCAGCTTTAATACGCGCGTTAATGGCGACTTGTTTTTTCACTATTAAGCTGGCCTGTGAATTATACTGCATAGCGCATACATCAAATAAAACAAACTTTTACCTGAATCAGGAATATCTTTACGTTATTTAATATAATACTTAATATTAAGATTTAAAAATTACTCTCACAAGATTTGGAATAATTTTTAATGTTCCAAAGAATTTAAAAATTATTTTTTTCTCACATTTACTAACAGAAAAAAATTGCAAAATAAAAATGTATTTGGATCGTTGTTGAAATTTTGCTTTAATTTCTTCAACTATGAATATAAGAGAACAAAAAAAATTATAACATCTATTGATTTCTTGGTAACGCGAATTGACTTTTATTTCTGTTCTATATTTCTATTCTAATTTGTATAGATTAATTGTACAAATATATTTCAAGATTTAATGATTTAAAGTATTGTCATAAAATTGATAAGTGATTCGCAATTGTATTCTCTTAGAAATATAAATTAATATATTAGATATATGATATATTATTATAGAAGATACGTTATATTTAAATTATATTTAAAGCTCGGTATTGATTGAAACAATTTCCAAGAATTTTACAAATTTATTCAACATTATACCTGCTAATTTATAAAGCGCGACGACTTTTTATCTCTGTACATTATTAATTCAAAAATTTACTGTATTTTATTTTTATTTACCATTTTATCTTATTTTTATTTGCCAAAAAATATTTATTCTCTGCATTAATCCGAACAATGAAGATCGCGATTTACAACCAGAGCCCGTTTATTTTTCGTGATGCGCTCTTGTATTTCACTCAACGAAATATTTTCCACCGAATTCGGCGAAAATGTATCCAATTAAAAAAAAGCTGCCGTTAATCGTTTTGTGGCGTGCGGCACGCGTAATCCTACACGGTGTAACAATTATCGATTTATCGCGTTCACGATGATAGGGCACCTCCTCCACTTTCTCTTCCCCGTTGATCCATACAATCTCGATAATAACGCGATTGCGATGCTATAAATCACAAATTAAAAAATATTGATAAAAATCAGTCGTATACATTTCTTTAAACAATTATTCTATTAGAGAAAAATGGCTTTCCATGTTTTCATCTAGAATTCTTGTTTCTCGTAATCTGTTATACGGTCGGTAGTACAGCCTTGTTAGGCTGTACAATAACTGTGCAAACTGTTATAATAAACCACGATCGTTACTATATAAGGGTCTATTTGGTGGATGATTCAAATAGCTAGTTTCGAGTAACACCAATTATTACATATGTTATTGCAATATCATTATCTTCAGTAATCTATTCTATTTCTGCTTTGCAATCCATATAGGTGACCAAAATAATTACGTTTACGCTACGTATAAATCTTTCATTGCTACAGTGCATGAAGCTATTATTTAATAGCAATTACGTATACGTACTCCAAGTACGAGAATTTAAATTTTGAATTGATTGCGAGTCTAGAGAATGGAAATAACGTGCCGTGGCAAATTCTATACATTTCCGACGAAAAGAAAAAAGAGAAAGAAGAGCATGCATCTGCAAGTGCTACTGAAGAAGTAAAGATACCTAAGATTTCCCATGTGTCGCCAATTTGTTAACCTGTGTCGACGACTTCGCGTGTCCCACGCGGCCCGCCGTCGCGGGCGCATCTAATTTTATCCGTAGATTAGTCGCCCGATATATACGTGTATATATACCCAAGATATCGTGAAATAAGCTTGGGGACTGCAGTTTGCATCGCTCCTAGTGAAATTTCAGCCCGGCGATCATTTACGCCGGCTTATAGGTATTACTTTTATGCAGCTTGCTGCATCGCGACACGATTAGTGTAATCAAATTATAGTTACCCTTATCGATCCTGGAACTCACGAGCCATCTCGATAGTGGAAACGTGAAACAACGGAAGTGAATATTTATTACGTTACAATTCGCGCGTGGGTGGAATTTCGGTTTAAATGCAGTTGCAGGCAAAATGTCGCGAAGCAATTATTTCTACATTAATTTCATACGACTTTCATAGAACGGTCGTTATTATCAGCATTATCTGCTTCGGATTGAAACCGGAAATTCGAGGAAAAAGGTCATAGTTGAATATTTTAAATTGGCAAATAACCGAAATTACTATTGCCATATACGTTGATAAATCACAATCGGTGTGTATTTTTTCTTTTTTTTTATATGACTTTTTCAAAAGTTCTATAAATTTCAATGTAATATTCCGTATCATACTTATACATTACGCGTGTTTCCTGGAACGCGTGATTTCTGTAAATAAATCTCGTAGGTAAACAAAGCTTAAAATTATAAACCGGTGGCTAGTATCCGATGAAAAGTTTCCTGTAAATGAACATTTCCCGGAGGCATGCATACTGACACACGCCGGTAACGTCGCTTTCGTGTATTAACGGCAAACAAGCCGAGGTTGAGTTGCTCTTGATCTCTGTATGCGTATTCTGTCCGCGTGCACGGGCCGCATCAATGTGTGTGCACGCGCTTGCACCCGTGCATAATGCGGGCAGCCGGCGATCCTGCAAGTGCCAGCAATGAGATTCCCACGCTTGGTTTAAAATATATATACACGTGTGTACGTGTATATATGATATGTGCCTGCTTGTGTGTGTGTGTGTGTGTGTGTGCGTCCACTACTGTGGCAGTATCCGAATTTAGAGCGTAAATGCATCTTCGAACAGAGAACGTTAACTCGTTGACCCGCGTAGGTAAATTTATGCGTATGCAATTCGGAAAAATGTGTTTGCATTACGCCCGGCGATAAAATGAACAGCGTATTTTTCAGCGACGCTATGGACCCGTATGGATACATGAACCAGGGAGGAAATAGATTTTATCTTCTTCGCCCATGTGCGCAGGTAGAAGAGAAACGTGGCAAGAAATTTGTGAAGTTTTCACAATATCGTATGAAAGCACTTCTGTTTATTATGCAAACACGAAAGTTGCCGAAACAAATAATGGGGAAATTTAATTAGATTTTTCCATCTTTTTTCAAATTTTTCATCACAATTCTTTCAATTATAGCAAACGGTTGAATGCATAAGCGATTTCGAAATTAAATCTTGAGAAATTGCATGACAGAACCAGTTTTCTATCGCAACTTTCCGCAGTTTTCCGTGCATTTCTAGAAAGATTTTCGTAACCTGGTATTTTCTTAGCCAAGTATAAATACAGATGGATGCTTAACGTGCAAATGCTTTCCGTACTTCTTTAATTGACCGTGTAAATAGTTTTAGATTAAATACGGTCTGCTTTAATAAAGTAATGTATATATAGATACATAAAACAAAATGAATAAAGTCACATACGTAATTAAATATAAATAGACCCAGAAAAATTTAAATGAAAATTTTAAAAGCTGTCAGTTACTTTTATAAATTTGTATACTATTTATATAAAATTCAGTAATTTACATGAAGACATAACATAAATACTGTTTAATGAATTTGCTCATAGTTTACATTAAAAAATGTATACATTCAGTACTCTGCTAATTTAAATTTTTTAACAACTGAGCACAAACATTCTACTTTTTTTTATTTATTTAAATAACGTATAAAAACATATTTACTGCTTTTATTGTCTAAGGCTTGATTTTTTATTTTTTTGGTTAACTTGTGATTTAGACTTAATTTTACTTTTAATCTCGTAATAATATAAAAATTGTATTTTTCTAGTTATATTTAATCAGCTTTGTTTAATCTTCAAAAAATTATCATTATAAAATCATCAGTTTAGTAATTAAATGTAGCTAGAAGAAAAGAATTTTTACATTATCATCAAGTTAAGTCTAATCACAAGTTAACCGGAAAATGAAAAACCGAGCTTTACTCATACATTTATTTCTACATTTTCTAAATATTCCCGGCGCGGGATCAACAACTGTAAAACTTGTGCAAGCTACTCAAGTATTGTAGCCTTACCATGGAGCGACTTCAACGAAGATTAAACATCTAAAAGATTAATAGTTTTTATTTACGTTCAAGATTATTAAGGTCAAGACTACCAATTTTACCTCTCTTTTATTCATAACCGAGTACAACAGGTATGTCGCGCGAACAAATGTATGCAACGTACGCGCCTGCAGAATTCGTGTATGAAAAAGCCAGAATGTCGATAGTACTTGGAATGAAATTTTCTCTCGAGAGTCCTTTATTATAGTCCAGCCTCTGAACCGCTTACTCTCAAGGAGCAACGATCTCCTCGG